AGACAGCAGGTAGAAGACAGACACAGAGAAGGCGACGTGAAGGGACAGAGACTGGAGTGATGTGGCCACAAGAAGCCACCAAAAGCTGGAAGAGGCAAGAAAGTAATCTCCCCAGAGCCTCCAGCACAAAGTGTGTCCCTGCTGACACCTTGAATTTTGGACTTCTGGTCTCCAGAACTGTGAGAGAATAAATTTCTATTGTTTTAGGTGTCCAGTTTTGTAATAATTTGCTAAGGCAGCCCTAGGGAACTAATCCAGGAGTAACTGAGTATGATGGTGCCATTCACAGAGGGAGGGAACGTGAGGGTGGGGACAGGTCTTGTGGGACAGAGGAAGAGTGTGAGTTAGATTTAGAAATGCAGGATTTGTGCGGCTTCCAGATGGCAAGGACATGAAAGGGCAGCGCTGGGCTCACAGTAAATACCTGGTAAGGGACAGCCATCATCATCATCATTTACTTTTGGAATGCTCCAATATGAAAAGATGTGGTTGCTCCTCTCGAGCACGTCTGACCTTCCTGTAATCTTGGACAACAAACACTCTGAAGTTCCGCCAGCTCTGCAGCAAAGCTTAGCCCTTTCCCTGCAACTCCCGTTTGGACACAAATGTTTCTGGTACAAAGTTCTGTTTGCACCAGTCAATACCAACTTTGGACTCACCCGGAGAATCTACATCACAGCCAGCCCATGTTTCCCTCCCCACCTCCATCCGCAGCCGCTGAGCGGTGCTGACTCCATTGGTAGCAGGAGTCTGCCATCTCGTGGACAATGACAATCCTAACAGCCTGGTCACAGCATCAGGACTGGAGAGAAAATGGCTTCAAAGTCACATAACTTCTCCTGCCTCCAAATACAGCTTCAACTAATCAGGCTCTAAAGGTCAAGGGCACAGGTGTGAAATCCTTCTGGTCTTTAAAATAGCTAAGAGGTCAGCAAAATGGGAGCAGAGCGCGGAGTCTCCTCGTCACCCTGGGGATAAAACCAAACATCTTCACCTGCACCTTTCCAGCCTCATCTCCCTCCACTCGCACCGGCCCAGGTGAGCGTTGGGACCCGGGGCCTTCTCCCCTGCTCCCTTCTCTGCCACAAGCCTGGGCCTGAGCCACGGGTTGTGCACCCGCATTCACCCCTCTGTCTTTCGGGACGTACCTGAAAGCCACCTCTCCAGGAAGTTTCTCAAAACCCGTGGAAGGGGTCCAATTCCCCTCATTCCACACATCCCCACAGGCTCCTCACTTTCCTTCACAGCACAGACCACAGTACCCTGCTGTGGTCACCTGCCTGTTTGTGTGATTGCTGTCTAGTCTGTAAGCTCCACAAGACAAGGAAGTGTCTCTTCTGCTAGCAGTCACGTCCTCAGTGCTCAGCACAGTGCCTGACATGTAATAAGGCCTGAGTAAATATTGAGTGAATGGATGGATGAAATAAATGGTTCAGGGAGCCCACCAGTGTGGCTCAGTGGTTGAGCATCTACCTAGGATCCAGGAGATCAAGGCACATGCCCAGGTTGTGGGCTCCATCCCCAGAAGGGGGTGTACCAGAGGCAGCTAATCAATGACTCATCATTGATGTTTCTCTCCCTTCCTCTCCCTGAAATCAATAAAGACATATTTTTTAAAAAAATGGCTCAGTGAGTGTTTCACACTGATGAGGAGCATGGTGATGGACAGAAATCTATGCAGAGGGCACACTGAGCCACACGCATTCTACTCCTGGAGGTGTAAGGGGACATCAAGGATATCGAGGAATATTATTCGAGCCAGGTAGCTTTCACTGTCAATCAATGCATAAGCTTTAAGGCTTTTATAATATGATCTACGCTTTGCTAACAGTGGAAACCTGAGTCCTTCATGGACATGAGAGGGTTTTGCAGAAGCAAATCCGTCCTTGCTGGGGTGAGGTGCACATCTGATTTGAGAGACCTCAGGAGTAGCCCGTCTGGCCCGGAGCAGAATCCCTCTGCTCTCCTCTTCCCAGCCCGCTTTCCCCCAAAGCTTCCCTGACACAGAATCAGAAGACTGGAGAGAAGGGGCAACTTTGGTGGACAGAGAAAAGTGGATGGGACAATATCTGGCACAGGGCAGGATTCTTGTTCCCTGTCATCCCTGCCCCAAACATGTCACCCACTGGGTATCGCCAACACCCACACTCGGGACACCCTACAGGGAGAGGGTCCACTCACCAATGATAACCCTGCCTCAGACTTAATCCACCCTTCCCACCCGAGTAGCTGGCCACGGCCGGCATATATGGAGATACAGGGGTAATGGGGCGGTACAAGGTAGATGAGTCTTTAAAAGAGAACAGAGTTCTACTGGTGTATTCTTAGAAACACATCTGCTCATTGACCACTGTCAGTGCCAGCAGGTCGGCGCATTCTGCCCTCTGCAGGCAAGCTGGGTGTGCAGCCAGTCTCTGGAGCTGGAGCTCAGGGTGGCAGGGGGAGGGAGATGGGGCTGCTGCAGAGCTCAGTCACATGAGCCCCTTGAGGATGGCCTTGCACCGGGATGGGCTGGGCCTGCCCTGCCTCCTGGTAGACGGGACTCTGTCTGGATCTTCCTAGCCCAGCGGTCCCCCTCTGCTGAAGCTCTCCTTTTAGATATGTTCATGCGCTTGTAAGTTCTCTCTCAGCCTGCTGGCCCTGGGAGGCCATCTGGGCCTTTCGGCGAGCGTGCCAGTCTCTGCTCCATTTCCCAGCATCGGACTGATAATCCCACTCAGAGAACAAGCCAGCACGTCTACTTCCCAGCTCCTGGAGGACAGGTGCCCACATGCTGCCCGGCACTGTTGGATGCTGGCGAAGTGAGTCCCTCTCACCTGGCACCAGTGGCTCTGATTGCTTTCATGACACTGTCACTAACCTGGTGGCCAGGGGGTAACGCAGCAGGATGAAGGCTCTTTGTGCCACCCTCTCTGTGAGGGGAGGCAGTGTTGACAGGCCCCTCCTCCCTTCCAAACCCCAGCATCTCGACAGTAGTGTGCAACTGCAGTGAAAAGATACAATGAAACGTCTCCTCAAGCAGAGCTCTCTGGGATACTGGGCTCATTTAAACTTATTTCTCATTACATTTCAAAGACTTCTCTTCCCTATCTTTGCAAAATCTGTACATACAGCAGGGGCAGGGGAAGGGGTAGAGGATTTCAAGCCTCAGCTTAACTACCGAATCATGATTATACAAGTCATCATTCTGTGTCACAAGAGACAAATACCCAACTCACACAGGCTTATATAGAAAGAAGAGACTTTGTTGGCTCACAAAACTGAAGGGTTGAGAGGTAGTTCCCAGCTTCAGGCGTGGCTGGATCCAGAGCCTCAAGTGATGTCATCAGCTTTCTTTATCTCCAAGTGCTGCTTCCTCTCCATGAGTTCTTACATGCTACCAGCTCACTGGGCTCAGCACAAAGCAAGCTTCTCTCTAATAGACCAGCTAGGATTACCAGATTTAGCAATTATGTGGGACACACTTACACTAAAAAATTATCCCTAATTGATCTGGAATTCAAATGTAACCAACTAAGCGTCCTGTATTTTATCTGACGACCCTCAATCTAGCACAGGTCCTAAGACTGAATCTGGGCAATTTGGATCACATACCATGCCAGACCAGGTGAGGAGGATGGGCTATGCCCCTGGCAGGCCAGGGTCCCCTGCCTATTTCTGCAAAAGGGGGAGCATGGTCAGCTCTCCCAGGATACATGCCCTGACAGTGGCATATGGGGTCCCTCTCACAGTAATTGGGATGCATACCTTAGAAGAAGGGGAATGAGCCCTGCATAGGCAAATACAACAAATGTCCACACAGTGACCCCAAAGGTCCCAAACAGTGAAATTATGAAACTCTATAGCGGTTGTATGGCACACAATAACTTGCAAAGCATTTTCACACCTCTCTGATTGACAGAGCAGATATTATAATCACTCCCTGTATTATTTTGCTCGGGCTGCCATCCTAAAGTACCACAGACAATGGGGGGTGGGAGAGGTGGGCTTAAACAAAAGACATCTCTTTTCTGATGATAGTCCTGGAGGCTGGAAGTCCAAGATCAAGGTGATAGCAGGGTTAGTTTCTTCTGAGGCCTCTCTCTCTGGCTTGCAGATGGATGTCTTCTTGCCGAGTCCTCAAACGATCTGTCCTGTGTAAATGTTTGTGTCCAAATCTCCTATTCTTATAAAGACACTAGTCATGTTGAACTAGGGCCCATGCTAGGTACCTCATTTTAACCTAATTACCTCTTTTAAGACCCTGTCACCAAACAGTTACATTCTGAGGTGCTGGGGGTCAGGGCTTCAATGTGTGAATTGACAGAGGGGCAACATTCAGCCCATAACACTCTACCCTCTCCTATTTTTTCAGATAAAGAATAGGACAGTGAGGGTGGTCTCGAGTTGTCCCCAGTCCCGGGCCGACTTAGCGGTGGAACTCAGTAAGGAGCTTTAGCCAACTCCAAGCAGTGGCAGCCCCTGCTCTGCCTGCCCAACCTCTGCCCAGCCTTTATGCCCAGTGGCGTGGCCACTGTGTAGACATGTGCCCGCCTGGTGCCAGAGTGCCAGCTCCCGGCCCGGAGAGCACACAGCAAGTCCACCTCCATGGTCCTGCCCCTCACCCGGGAACCGGCAGCACATGATGTTCTTGAAAGAAGCATTCCTTGAAAGGAATGAAACAGAAAAAATTCCTTAAGAGTGTCAGGAGATTAATTAAAAGGCGAGGATAAAAGGAGCATGTGCTCACGACTTGGAGTGACATGGACTCCAAAACAGCAAAAATCGTGAGGCCTATGCATGTGTAAATGAGCCCCCGGGGGATGCTAATCAGAGGGTAAATTGCAAACCAGAGAAAGACTAAAACGAGCGAGCGAGCGGAGAACAGCGACTATTTCAGTGTCTTTAGTTCATAAGAAATTCATGAGCGACGCACGGGAAAATGTTGTTGGTTTTGGTGGTGGGAAAGAATTGTAAATATGTATAATATGTAAATACCTTTTATCATAAAAACCGTGAAGATGAACGAGCCTGCGGCAGAAAAGCTGCGAACTGTGCGAGATGCTAACACAGCTGCCGTCGCCCTAAGAAACTTCCGCCGTGCTCAGGGCTCGGAGAGACCCCGCTCGCCGGGACTCGCGCGCCCACGCCTCTCCCGCCCTCCTCTTCTTCCCTTGTTACTGGGAGACAGGCAGCGTTAGTGACAGCGGGCGCTGCCGGCGGGCCGACCTGGGTCGGAGGCGACCTCCCTCCACCGCCCACGGGCCGCCGACTGGAGAACGGGCGCAGCCGAGCGCGGCGCCCCGACGGC